CCCCAAAACCCCAAAACCCCAAAACCCCAAAACCCCAAAACCCCAAAACCCCGTATGGTGTCCTGGCCAATGAAAGAAAAGTATAAATGGTTTGATAATTTAGGTTTTAAAATATAATGAATAATATGATCGACTGTAACCATTCACCAAGTCTTAGTGATGAGAGTGTTGGTGTGGATGGAGATAAGGAATGCTTCAGTGGAGAGAGATTGGAGGGCAGTAACAACTTGCCGGAGGAAGGAATCACTTCAATTTCTCCAGACTCCCTCGTAAACAAAGCCAGTACACTCTTAAGAGCACTGACGCTATTCACGTCATTCTCCAAATTTGATACACAAAATTCGCCTCCCCCAAAAACATCCAAATTGTTTAATGACTTCTCTCTCAAGCTTAGCAACATGAAGGCCTGCCTCTCCCAGGCGAAGACTAGTGACTCAGAAGAGAAGCTTCCCGCCTTGAAGGAAGAGATAGAGAGCATCAAGGCCTCTATTGGTGAAGAGCTGGCAATGACTCCTCTGGGCCAAGCTTTGCTTTGGAACCTTATTGAAAGAGATAACTAAGGATTCCTCTATGAAGATCTTTGATGAACTGGATCATCGATGCCAAGATATTGCCAATCTTCATGAAGTTATTGCCCAAAAAGATGCTGAAATTCAAACACTTTCTAAACAAATTAGAAAGTTGGCAAAATTTAGGAGGACCTCGAGCTTAGTTTCAGAAGAGACGGAGGATGGAGACTCTGCTTCTCAGTCTGACTCTGGTTCAATGACTCAATTATCTCGTTCTTCCTCGTTGCTAAACAAATTGAACTTAAATACAAAATCAAGATTGACTTTGTGCTTAAACAAAGTAAGAGATCTTATGCTGGTGAAGGAACTTAAAGAACCTCTACAAAAGATCAACACCTTGAGCTTCAATCCAGGCCTCCTGGCACTAGAGGACGCCAAAGAGTTCTTGAAGAACTGTTTCCCTCTGGAGGTTGCATCTTTCCATTTTAACAAGGATTCTCTTCTGAGGAATGACCTTGAAAAATTTTTGGATGTCCTCTTACGCACCAATGAATATGTTACAGATGAGATTGTCTTATCCAATTTTGTTATTGATCAAGACAGCTTGGTCAAGATTCTCTCCAATTTCAAGAATAAAGAGGTCGTCTCTTTCAACTCTTGTAAGATGTCTCTATCAAATCCTCCAGAATTTGGAGACTCTCTTGATGGAGCTACCCTAAAACACCTCTACTTGAACTTCTGAGGAGACAAATCTCATGGTGACTGGGCATCCAATCCCGCCCATTTCGAGAACCTTATCAATGGGCTCTCTCATTCTCCAGACCTGAAAGCCAGCCTGAAGGACATCTGGATGGAAGGCTCTGGCCTCAAAAAGGATAAAGCCAGAGATATCCTCGATACCTTCGGGTTCCACAGTACTAAAATTTGGATTCTTTACGGTTAATTCCCGATTCAAGCGGTCTCCATCATTACGGGGTTTTGGGGTTTTGGGGTTTTGGGGTTTTGGGG